GGGGCGCTTAAGCTTGAGAGCCACAGCTACAACAGCTCAGGGTATAGATATCCAAACTTCAGACTACTAGGGGTTCAAGTGCAGATAATTCACTCGTTTCAGAAAACCTTGGCAAGCCTCAGTCTTCTCATTTGTACAATGGTGAAACAGCAGTGTAGTTACTGGGGAAGGAAGGGTTTTTTTCTTTTCCCTGGAGTCAGTGCTCCTGCAACCTCTGAAATCCAGCGCCCTTAGGGAGGAGGCTCACCTGGGCAGCTACCGTCTTCCCGCAGGCTTTCCTGGAAGTCTTTGCTCAGAGAAATCTGCTCCGCTGAGGCACCAGTGGCCTCTAAAGTCCTTCCCCATCCCATGCACCATCTTCTTCCTTAAGCCTCTCCACCCTGAGCTCTCTCTCCTACAGTGTGAAGGAGCTCGCCCCTTCCCACCGGAGCCCCAACCTTCCCTCCTCAGGCCCCTTCCCCTCAGTCTCAGCCTGCCCAGGGGAGCAGCATCCCATGCCCTCTCTTCCAGCCATCAGCCCTCCCACATTCCTCCCCTCCACCCACCTTCCCCTGCCGACCTGCCCTCCAGGCTGGCTTCCCAGATTCCTAAACGGTGAGATGAGGCTGGGAGCTGAATTGCCAGCCCCAGCCTCACTGTTCTGCCTTCTCACTCTGAGGCAGTACTCAATGAGATTTCAAAATAGTTCATGGGCAATCAAAGTTTATTTTAATGTCAAAAAAACTGAAATTCATGCATAATTTTTGATTATACACATTTGCCGTGTCCTTTTGTTATTTAAATTTTTAAAATTTCATTTTATTTGAAAGGCAGAGAGAGAGATATCTTCCAAGCACTGGTCCTCCTCCCAAATGACCATGACAACCAGGGCTTTAACCAGCATGCCACACACGCCAAAGCCAACAGCCAGGAACTCCATCCTGGTGCAGTGTAGCCACTGCCAATTTTCAGCCAGTGTCAGAGACATCCCTGGTGTCTCACTCACCAAGGGCACAACTGATGCTCTGAGCTCCACCCCTTCCTCTTCAATCCCTTAGTTCTCAGTTCCCAGCTATCAACACCCAGTCCACTACATGCTTCCCTTCTGAAGCCAGCATTGTGGTGCAGTGAATTAAGGTCCCAGAGGGGAGTGGGGGAATGAGGTGTTGCTAGTAGGTGCTGATTCATATCCTGGCTGCTCCACTTCCCATCCAGCTCCCTACCTGTGGCCTGGGAAAGCAGTGGAGGACGACCAAAGCCTTGGGACCCTGCGCCTATGTGGGAGACCTGGAAGAGCTCCTGGCTCCTGACTTCAGATAAGCTCAGCTCTGGCCATTGCAGCCACTTAGGGAGCACACCAGTGGATATAAGATCTTTCTCTCTGTCTCTCCTTCTCTCTGTATATTTGCCTTCCCAATAAAAATAAATACATCTTTTTAAAAACCCCATATGAGTGCCAGGTTCATATTCCAGCTATTCTGCAGATGTGCTTGGGCAAGCAGCAGATGTCCCCAATGCACCACCCACACGGGAGACCTGAATAAAATTTCTGACTCCTGGCTTCAGCTTGGCCCAGTGCTGGCCACTGAGGCCATTTAGGGGAGTGAATCAGAGGATGCAAATGCATGCATTGGCATTCCGCCTTTCAAATAAATCAACTGGAAAAAAAAAAAAGCTTGCCTTCTGTAACCCAGGCCTCCAGGAAGGGCCCCAAGCCTCCTGGCCACTCCTTATCTCTTCATGCTTCCTATCTCTCTCCTGTCACCGACTACTGAGCTCTAGTTACAGGCCTGGCCCTAACCAAGAACCAGGATGTTGCGGCCAGCACGTGTCAACAGCGGTGACAGGTTGCTGTGGAAGTCCATACTACCTACCTTGGCAGAGCAAGGTGGTATGAGGAGTCTGCAGCCTTGACATTCATTCTCTTCATCTGTAACAGGGGTTTAATGCTCATCTGAACCTGCCAAGATGAAGGTAAAAATTCCTCACTGAGCACTGGGCCAGCTACATGGGTCTTTTTTTTTTTTTTTTTTTAAGATTTATTTATTTGAAAGGCAGAGTTACAGATGGAAGGAGAGGTAAAGAGCTGGCATTCTTTAGTTTCCTGCCCAAATGGCTGCAATGGCCAGACCAAGGCCAGGCTGAAGCCAGAATCCCACAATGCCAGCTGGGTTTCCCACATGGCCCCCAGCCCTCGGGCCATCCTTTGCTGCTTTCCCAGGACCATTAGCAGGGAGCTGGATTGGAAGTGGAGCAGCTGGAACTTGAATAGATGGTCATAGGCGATCCTGGATTTGCAGGCGGTGTAACTTTTATAAAAATGTTGACCTTTAAGCCATAGCAATAAGTACAAGCTAGTTATATAACAAGAACTAAAATAAAGAATAAAAATTGGGTCAAAACAACCATCACTTATCAAGTAGCCTGGCCTTCTACCTGCATTAATACTGCCTGTGGTCATCCTAGAACTTGCTATGCAATCTCCCTCAGAACTGAGGACACGGCTGGGAGGACAGACTTGCTCAACCCAAAGTGAGTGATGGCAGGGACAGGACTAGGCTGTAGACAATGCCTTCAGTCCTTGAGACCTCTAAATAAACACACAACCATCATGGAGCAGGGTTTTGTTTTGTTTCTCACTTTAAAATCAACTTAGTCATATGGTTTATATGCAACATAACTCCACAATCCACTCTGGGAGCCCCATTCACTATCAAGTTCATCAAAAAGACAACCACTGATGTTCCTTTAGTTTATTTTCATTCTATGTGAAAGGCAGTGAGACAAAGAATCTTCCATCTGCTGCTTCACTCCCCTAAAATACCTGCACAGCCAGGGATGGGCCAGGATAAAGTTAGGAGCCTGGAGCCTCTTCCGGGTCTCCCACACAGGTGCAGGGTCCCAAGGCTTTGGGTCGTCACCCACTGCTTTCCCAGGCCACAAGCAGGGAGCTGGATGAGAAGTGGAGCAGCTGGGACACAAACTGGCACCCATATGGATCCTGGCAGATGCAAGGCAAGGATTTAGCCACTAGGCCCTCACATCAGACTCTCGAGTGGACATTAAGGAGTTGAATAAATTAAAACAAGGGCACTGGGCCCGGCGCGATGGCGCAGTGGTTAAGGTCCTCGCCTTGCATGCCAGGGATCCCACATGGGCACCGGTTCTAATCCCGGTGGCTCCGCTTCCCATTCAGCTCCCTGCTTGTGCCCCAGGAAGGCAGTCGAGGATGGCCCAAAGCTTTGGGATCCCTGCACCCGCGTGGGGGACCCGGAGGAGGCTCCTGGCTTCGGATCAGCATAGCATCGGCCCGTTGCGTTCACTTGGGGAGTGAATCATCGGGCGGAAGATCTTCCTCTCTGTCTCTCCTCTGTATATCTGCCTTTCCAATAAAAATAAATCTTTAAAAAAAAAAAAAGAAAAGGGCACTGAAGTGGGACTTAAGCTGCTAGGCCATGACGCCGGGCCTGGGTCTCTACTCCCATATGACAGTCACGTTGGAGGTACTGGGACACATATGTTCTAAGACCCTGTGAAGACACAGTGACAAGGCGGTTACCACGCCCAGGCCCAGGTAAGGCCTCAGGGGTACAGCCTCTTTGTCCTGCCAGCACCTTCACCTTGGGACCTTCAGGCTCCACAGCAGTGAGCTATTTCGGCCATGTGAGCTGCTGGATAGCTGGCGCCTTATTGCAGCAGCAAGAAAACATAATATGAACAAGTTCCACTCAGTATCTCCCAAGCCTTACGGCAAAAACCTGATGAAAAATGTACAAGGATAGAGGTAGTACCAACGTATCTTCCCGTGGCACACTTGCTGGTTGTGGGGTGGCAGGTACCGTCTGATGGAATGACCGAGGTTACCTCACCAGTATTGGGACAAGCCAGTGTCATGGGCTTCCTGATGTGGGTCGAAAGAACGTGCATTCTGAATTGAATTACCAAAAATATTTATTTATTTGAAAGGCAGGGTAAGGGAGAGAGAGGAATCTTCCACCTGCTGGTTCACTCCCCAAATGGTTAGGATTGGGCTGTCAGGGCCAGGAACTGCATCCAAGTTTCCAAACGCCCAGGCCATCTTCTGCTGCCTTTCCAGGGGTGGGAGCTGGGAGCCAGTAGAGGGAAGGGGGTATTCAACCTGAAATGCTAAAATGACTTAGGAAGAAGTTTATAAATACACAATATGTACAGACACACCCAAGAGAGAATGGGCTCGTGTAAAGCAAGCAAAATCCAACACTGTCCTCCTGCTGAAAGGGATTATTTTAAGGGATATGACAGTTATTTACTTTTCTTGCAATGTTTGTGTATTTGCTTTCACTTGTTACGCCTCTTCAAGTGATGAGGGGGGACTTCAGGTGAACACTCCAGGAGCGGCCTTTTCTCCAGCACCCTCCGGATGTGAACCACGCTGACCTACGAACCCGGGAACCCCTCCAGGCTGCTCCCCTCTCCAGGGGTACCTGCCCACTTAGAGGCGTCCGATACCCACACCTGTAGACTTACATCCACTGCGTACCACCCAGTGAACGAAGACATTGGGGGGGAAAAAAAAAGTGCCTACCTAGGGCTTCTACAGCGAGCACCTCCAGCCCGGATCCCGTCAGCCGTCCCGCCCCGGGAAGGAGGGCCCGGGTCCCAACGGGATTTTACTGAGGGAAGAGACCGGGCGAGGGTCGGAGGGCTGGAGAGGGAGGCGGTGATTAGTAGATGGGATTGAAACGCCCGGCCCTGAATCCATCCAGCCGGCCAATCCCAGCTCCCAATCTGCATTTATTAGGCGCCGACGGCGTGGCTCCACTGCAAGGCGAGCTCCTTCCTCAGAGCGGCAGGCGGCGGCTGGGGCGGCTCGTGGAGCTTTGGCGCGGTTTTTTTTTTTTTTTTTCGGTTGCCCGAGCGTCGTGGCCGGTGATTGGGCCGCGGTTCGGCGTGCCCAGAGGCGCGGGGGTCGCGGCGGCCCGCTCGACCTCCCCCAGCAGCCGGCTCGGCTTGGCGCGCTCCTCGGCCGGCCTTCCCGGGGGATGGGCCACCAGGAGTCTCCGCAGGCCCGCGCGCGGGAGGGAGACGCGGCTTATATAAAAAGGTTATGTAAAGGGCTCAGCTGGCGCGAACACGTGGAGAGCCACGGGGGCCCGGGAGCCTGGGCCGGCTCGGCGTGCGCGGGCCCCGGGGCGGCAGCAGCAGGAGCGGCCACCGCGGAACCTGTCGCCCGGCGCACCCGGTCCTCCGCTTCCCGCGCTGCTCGGTCCCCCAGGCAGCTCCGGTTCGGAGCGGACCATCCCGGAGCGAGGCTGCCGGGGGGGAGACGGCCCGTACGCAAGTCGAGGGACGCCGGCCAGGTAAGGACGGGGTGACGGGAGCGTGGCCGAGGCGGGGCGCTGTCCCCCCGGCCCGGGCGCCTTGGGGAGGGCCGACGCAGCTGCGACCCGCCTCGCTCCGGGGAGCTCAGCTCACAGACCGGCCGCCGTCCCCCCCCCCACCCCGCCGCCTGCGGGGAACTTGGGTCGGTCCGTTCGGTCTGCTGAGGCTTAATTCAATGGGACTGTTTACACCCGGGAGGACAGAAGGCGGGACGCGCCGAGGGGGTGACCTGGGAAGGGACCCAGGATGGGAACAAGCACTCCGTAGCGAGTCGCTCCTGAAGGCGATTTTCACAAATGATTTTCGTTTCTGCTTTTCGTTTTTTTTTGTCTTGTCCCGCACAATCGAGTAACTAGGAGCGCGGGTGAGATGCTGCTTTCCTTTCCGGTTCCCCCTCGGAGTCCGGGCTCTATGGTTTCGCCCGTCCCGCTTTCCCCTCCCCTCCCCCTTTCAATCAGCGGCGGTGCCTTCTGCCTTAAAGGGGCCGCGGCGGCCCGAGGAGCGGGAGGAGGAGGCGGAGGTGGGGCGCTCCGCGGCCTGCGCTCCTCGCCTCACCGCCTCGGCCTGGTCGCTTCAACGCTTCTTCTCTCTCGCAGGTCACAATCCAAGATCCCGCTGTTTCGCGTCCCAGGGCCGGACAGAGGGATGAGGCAGGGGGGGCCCGGGCAGCGCCGTTGCTGCTCCCCCCGCCGCTCGCAGCCATGGAAACGGGGGAGGAGGACGGCGCCCGCCGAGGAACACAAAGCCCGGAGCGGAAAAGGCGAAGCCCAGTGCCGCGGGCGCCCGGCGCGAAGCTGAGGCCGGCGGCGGCCCAGGCCATGGATCCTGTGGCGGTCGAGGCCCCGGGCGAGGCCTACCTGGCTCGGCGGCCGCCTGAGGGCGGCGGCGGGTCGGCGCGGCCGCGCTACAGCCTCCTGGCGGAAATCGGGCGCGGCAGCTACGGCGTGGTGTACGAGGCAGTGGCCGGGCGCAGCGGGGCCCGGGTGGCGGTCAAGAAGATCCGCTGCGACGCCCCCGAGAACGTGGAGCTGGCGCTGGCCGAGTTCTGGGCCCTGACGAGCCTCAAGCGGCGCCATCCGAACGTGGTGCAGTTCGAGGAGTGCGTCCTGCAGCGCAACGGGCTGGCGCAGCGCATGAGCCACGGCAACAAGAACTCGCAGCTCTACCTGCGCCTCGTGGAGACCTCGCTCAAAGGTGAGCCGCCCTGACCCTCCCGGAGTCGGCAGCCCGGGCCCCGACACACCTTCCTGTCCCGGCGCCAGGCTCGGGGAGCCCCCACCCCCTTGCCCGCCTGGCCCCCTGCACGGACTTAGCTGGGATGTTCATAACCAAGAGCTCGTTTAAGTACTCCTCGCTATCTTAGTGAGCGTGAGCCATTCTTAAAAGCCCCGCGTTCCTAGGGTCTCTTGGGGGCGTGAAGAGGGGGCGGACTTGGGTTCAGCTGACGGCCCCCTCTCCTCGCTGTCTGCGTTAGAGGCTGTTCTCTTTTCCCCTCCCAAATCGAACAAAAAGAAACCTTTCCTCCTCTCCCTCTCTGGTTCCCTCTTGGTTGCTGGACCACTCCCCCCACCCAGACTGCCACCCCGAGAATTCTCATCACAGTCTGTCTTCCCCAAGACCACCCCCGGCCCTTCGTCCTCTGGCACCCACAGACCAGCCCCCCCTCACCGCCGCGGGTGGGCCCAGGCTGTCACCTAAGAAAACGTCCCGTATCTCTGGGCTCCCCGGTTCGTCCTCATCCTCAATCTTAATCTCTGAGACTAAAGGGGGCGGGCAGGTAAGGGGTGCCCCGAGGTAGGGAGGCTCGTGAGCCCTCCAGGACAAATGGCCAGGTAGCGTGTGGCCTGGAGTGAAGGAATGTGTCGGGCCCGAGTGTCCACTCGGTGCGCACCCCGTTCCCATCCCGACTGGGCCAGGAGAGGGGCTGCAAACTGGAGTAGCGTGTCATCCCCTGGTGGGACGCCGCTTTTCCAGTCCGCGACGTGAAGAGACTTCTGGTTAATAACCTCAAAAGTAAAGCTCTGTTCCCTTTGCCTAAACAGAGAGACTGAGGCAGAAAGTGGGCTGACAGAACTCAGCCTGGCAGAGGAAGGCGGACCACGGCTCCTGGCTTTCTCACGCAGCTTAGAAGTTGCCTTTGGAACTTTGGCGGGCCTAACAGAAGGAGAACTCCTAGTCTTGTTTCTGTGTCTGAGGTTGCTGCAAAGGGCTAAGCAGGTCTCCTCCCCTGGGAGGGTGGGAGCTTCGTGATGGGCTCCGGCCTTGGTGCCCATCCCCACACTGTCTGTCCTGGGGAAGCCTGTCTGCTCCCTGTGGGATTGTTTCACCCTCTCTGTATTCCAGGGGCACCTCCTATCCCTCCTTCCCTCTCAGTGTCTTCCCTGCGCTGAGTGAACGGTCTGGGCTTAGGTGTCCCAGGACTCCTGTCCCAGGACTGCCACGTAGCGCGGGACCCTCGGCCACTGACGCCCGGTCCTGAAGCCTGCAGCCACAGATGGAGGTGCTGGGTCACCATGCCAGGGTGCTAGATTTAGATTCTGCTCCTGTGTGGAATCCGCAGTAAACCAAAGCATGACTGGTTAGGGCTCTAACCAGCCCAAGGGTGAGGCTGCTGTTGGGAGACACGGACCAAGTTGTTTAATGGAACATTTTTGGGTCCGTGACAGGTAGGGGTAGGGTACACACGTGGTGGGAGGACCACTCTCAGACCCGCAGTGTCAGGTGGAGCGAGTGAGCGAGGGAGAGGTGCCCTATGCCTGCCTCAGCAGGTGCAAGTCCTGCCCCAGGTCTCCCAGGAGGCCTTCACCTCCTTTGAGATTCACGTTGGTCTTGCCTGCTCTTCCCAAACTTGTCTTTATTTACTGGGTTCTCCACAACACCAAGTTGACAGAGTTTGAGAGTGGGCAAGTTTGTTGCTTTTGTCGTCTTGGCAGTTGTTTAGAACTTTAAATATCTGCACAGGGTTCTGGGCACTGAGCTAGAGCAGGGAGAAAAGTTCCATGTCCTGTGTTAGCGGCTGCTGACAGTGGAGAACAGAGACCCAAGTTGCTGCAGGTTAGGTTTGCCTGACACGGGCTTCTACACTTTAGTGCATCTTGTTCTGTTGCCCGGGGTCATGTCCGAGCTGGAGGAATCTCTGCGTTCACCTGGTTCTCACTCAGCATTGTGGTCCCTGGCAACTTAGAGAAGGATTTCGGGCTTTAAAAAGTGTTAAACTGCCTTGTAGGCTCCTGAGGCAAATGCTTGACTTGCCGGCAGGACATCACCTCGCTTTCACTTTGGATTTGACCTTTGGTGTCTGACCTCCCATGTTCTGTGTTCTGCTGTTTTCCCTGCTCTTTCTCAAGTCTCTCCTGTGACTGTTACCCCTCCATCCCTGAACAGCTGCGGTGTGCACACACTGTCCGGTGATGGCTAGGGTAGCAGATGTTCTCTGCCTGCTGGCTGCTCCTCCCAAGGTGTGCCAGGAGCCAGCAGCTGCCAGCTCTATAGGTGGGTGAGTTGTTAAAAGGGTAAAGCACGCTGGATTGCTTAAAGGCTCCTGTCCTGACTGAGCTAAACCTTCAAGATGGGTGCCTCCCCCAAGGCCATGAGCGGGCTGGACTCGTAGTCAAGTTCAGAAGGACATCTTTTCGCTGTCTCTCCTCTCTCTAATAAATATACGGAAGTCTTAAAATAAGGAGAAGCGAGGACTGGGAGAAGACTTCAGTGATAAAGAAGAGGTCCCTGCAAGAGGGGCCGCTGGGCTGAGTCCAGCCCTGGACAGAGCACAGAGCCCTGAGTTAGCAGGGGCTGCCCAGGGGCAGGCGGGACCACGTGGACTCTTGTTTCACCATTGGGCAGGGAGAGTAGTTGTTTTCTCAGGGTTGACAATCCTTACTGCATACATGAAAGAAGTTTCTGTAGCATCAGGAAATCATTTGGTCTATAAGTCATCCAGTATCCCAGGTGAGCAGGGAACAACTGGTGTGCTGCTTGGTCTTCTCCTGCTTGATAGACTTGGATGTGTGGTGTTTCCATTTCTGAGTGTGGACCAGAGGGTCCTGTCCAGGAGCAGGATATGGAGGGCTGACGCCAGCAGAAGTCCTGGGTGTCTGAGCTGGCCTCTGTTTTACAAGGAAGAGACCTGCAGTCCAGAAAGAGGACATGCCTGGTGTGAGACAGTGACAGCACTTAAGCCAGTCTCCTGCGCTTCACCATCCTGTAAACTTTCCACATAAAAAAGAGGGTGACGTCCCGACATTTTGCTCCAAGCCACGTGTTTTCTGGTAAAGGACCCTGTCACAAATGCATTGAGAACAAAGTTCACATGACTGCCACTTGGTAGATGGCAGACAAGTCAGACAGACCCATGCAGGACCAACTCCAAGGCCCAGAAAACTGAGTAGCTAGGAGTTTGGGAGCCTCGTGGGTTCCTGACATGGCCCACGACCCTAGCTCTGCCTTAATCCTTGTTTTAAGTTTACTCTCCCCAAGGTGCCACTGGGTGGTTTGGGAGGAGTGGGAACTTGGGCCTTTGGGATGGGAAGTAATCTTTCTGTGTGCCCATCTGAGTGACCACTGTGAGCCCAGCTACTCTGAGATGCTGTGTGCAGGATGTTGTCTGTGACACACACCCGAGCAAAGACAGTATGAGGTCTCCAGAGTTGGCATCACAGAGTCACGGAGAGGTTCTGGGAGCTCAGGCAGGGTCTTAGGGCAGAGTTGCTGTGGCCAGGGCCTGAGTTTAGGGAGCTCCGCAGTACCGAAACATAGAGCCAATGATAATCTTGAGCTACCTCAACTTGGGTGAAAGTGATGTTTGGGGGCCCTGTAAATTAGTAGGTTATGATAGGAGAGTGAACTTGGGCTCAACCTGTACAGATCCAACACTTCCTTAACCGTAGCCATGTGCTGGGTGCTGTCTAAAGAAACTCGGGTTGTCCTCACACCTGCCCTTTGAAAGTCATGGTTACCTTCATTTCACAGGTAAGGCAGCTGAGACACTGGGTTAGTAAGAGCAAAGCCTGGACTCAAGCCCAGACGTTCCCACAGGTCTGCTGTGCCGCACACTGGGGTTAGGTGGCTTAAGTTTTGAGTTCTCCTGGTTAGCTTAGTTATAAATGGGCGTGATTGTATTTTACTCAGGAGCTAGTGACTACTATTTATTTTTCACTACCTGTTAATCAGTGCTTGTAGCACTGAGCACTGCTGATTTATTTCTGCAGGGGCCTCCCGTGTGTCCCAGCTGCCAGCATCCTGGGCTGCCTGTGAATGCTGTGAGTCAGCCATACAGACATCTTTTTGCCTCTGACCCAGTACATCCTTTGGTGTACACTGGGGATTTGAGGTACTAGCTGCAGGAGGTGGATGCAGCCCCACGCTACTTGAGAGCTTTGGTCAGTCGGGGCTGACCGGGTTGGATATTTTACAGTGAAAGCTTTTAGGAAGAGCTTAGCTTTCCTGTTACCTTGAGTTTGGCCTTTGGTGGTATCCTTAGGACTGAAACCCTCGTGAATACAAAACTGACAGATTCTTGTCCTGACCCAGTTCTTTTACATATTCTACTTACTTACTGCTACTCTTTCTGCTTTTTTGCCTTTTTAAGCCTGTCTAGATTTTGCATCTTATCTTGATTTATCTCACTCCATCACTGAACCCCGGCCATGTGTTTTTGTACTGTGCCACCTCGGGTTTGACGAGACATCCTGAGCCCCACAGTCTGTCATTTAATTCGCTGAGAAGTTGGCTACTGTTTATTTTGTTGTTGTTGTTGTTGTTGTTTGTTTTTCCTTCTATTCTAAAGATTTATTTGGAAGTTAGAGACAAAGATTGCCTGCCCATCTGCTGGTTCACTCCCCCAGTGGCTACAACAGTCAGATCTGGGCCAGGCCAAAGCCACGAGCTGCTTCTTGGCCCTCCACACGGGCATAGGGACCCAAGTACTTGGACCATCTTCTGCTCTCCCAGGTGCAAATGAAGTAAGCGAGACTCAAACCAGCACCCATGTGGGATGCTTGTGCCATAAGCCATGGTCTAACCATGTTTGTTCCACAGCACCGCCCCTACCTGCTAGTCTTGTAGATAAAACAATTAAAGATCCTTTGAGGTAATTATCCAGTACAGCACCATTGAAGGTACCACCATCTAGATGTACATAGAGCTGGTTTTCCACTTTCCCCCATGTTTAAGGCCCCACTGGCTGGCTGCCACCC